TGAAGATAAACGGTGTTCATCTTCAACTAAACGTCCATTTATTTATATTTTTCTGTGTCTGAGGAGTAACGGAAACTTGCTGAACATACTTTTTATAATTTGTTTTAATTTCCAGTTTTTCTCGTTCTTTCATCAGCTCGCTCAAAGCAACACATCAGTTTTCTTTGGACTACTCCTTTGCTTCAATCGGTTGAGTCGCCCCCTGCTGGACATTAGAAATAACGCAGGTTGGGGTGCAGGTAGCCGAGGGGTTAGTTTGCTTTCCCCATGTGCAGACGCTGTAGTCCTTGAAGCGGGCAGCCCGGGTTCAAATCTGACCTGTGGCTACTTCCCCATCTCTCCTCAATTTCCGACTCTATCCACTTTCCTATCTCTCTAATAAATACTCAAAAATAAACGCAGGTTTAAAGCACTTCAACACGTGTTAGTGTTAACCTTCTTATAAACAGTTTACCAAACCAACCAAAGCGTTTGTTTGGTTTAATCGTCAAAGTTTCTTTTTCATGTCAGTCATTTCTTTCCAAAAGAGGAGAACTAACAAACAACATTCAGCAAGCACTGCAAAAACAATCCATTTTTTCTCATTGTGTTTCTCCTTTTCCGGAACAAAAGACGAAAGATTTGTGCCAAGAGATTTTCCTTTTTGGAGCCAGAAACTCTGTCTGTAATTATCATCCAGCCGGCTGCAGACTGATAACAGTGATCTGTATCACATGTGCACCGCTCCGTCTCCAGCGTGTTGAACTCTACGCGGATATTCTGCTGCTGACCGCCCTGCACGACTGTAGGAGTCTGAACCTCTGGGAATAGGAAGGAAAACAAACTCCTGGTTGCCTTTGGCCTTTTCTCACTGCTGCATAACGAGGAGGGCAAGTCCAGGACAACATGACGAGAAACTGAAGTCTCCATTCTGCGCTGTGTGACAACTGTCTGCAGAGCGAGCGGAGCAGGAACGACTAACTCAGAGCGCTGACAGAGATACACAATTCAGGATTTAAGCTGAAATTGTAACAAGAACAGAGAGAGAGAGAGAGGGAGAGACATCAAACACCTGGGACTTATTTCACTCCTCCTGCATGGACATTTAACATAATCCTCTGTGTTGATGTCAGACGTCTCAGAGACACTCAGAGGTGTTTCAGAATCAAAGCCAGGAGTTTCTGATGTAAATAGTAGAATGCATGATGTATGAAAGTCTAGAGTTTCCTCAAGTATCAGTAGAGTTTTTAAACGTTCAGAGCTGTTAGAAAACATCAGAAGCCTGAAACAGTTTGTTTGAGTCACGATGAGAGGAAATCGTCTGATTTACTTTCTTCAGTTAATCAACGAAGTTAAACAATTCAATCCACAACATCAGACGCTTCTTTAATCTGGAACATCAGGTTCTAAGAAACTCGGATGTGAAATTTAAACCAGAACAACTCTGTTTGTTTTATGTGGGAGGGGAAGGGGGGGCGGACAGAGAGACCAGGACAAGGAGAAGTCCTCCACCATGTCTCCTGTTATTATTATATTTATTAATAAGGATGTTTCCACAACTCAAACACAGCAGAGAAAACAGACGACCGAGGCGAGCAGCGACGAGTTTAAAGTTGAGAAACTCGGTTCAGCGTGGAGAGCGTCATCGCCCCCGCCCACTCAACTCACTCGACTCAGCACGACTTCATGAGGACGTTTTATAAAGAGGGCTCCTCAGTCACATATGAAGACCGCCCCGATGACGTCGGGACATTTTCAGGAGTGCAGAGCACGTGTGAAAGGAGCCATAACGCCTGATTACAGATTGTAGTTTTAGAACAGCGTCGTTCTGCCAGCAGTATGCCTTTGTTGTTACACACTACATCTGGGTTGGACGGCTTTGCCCCCATATGGCTCTGTGACAAACACACTTAGAGAGGCGTAGCGTGGACGACACGGGCCATGTTAGCTAACGTCTGTCAGACAAAACAAAAGCGGTCTGGTTGAAACACCTGTGGCGGTAAAAACTACAAAAATAATGAATCCAAACACAGCAAAGCCAAAACAAAACCCAATATCATGAAACTTTGATTACAATATTTAAATGTATCTTCTGTACACAAGATGCATAAATGTGTGTGTGTGTGTGTGTGTGTGTGTGTGTGTGTGTGCATATGACCTCTTCATTTGTACGTCTGAACCGAAGCCCTCCGCCCTGTACGTAAAAAACTGATCCTACCCGAGCCAAGAAGCTGTTTTCGCAAGTTGTTCAAGAAAGAACACACACACACACACACACACACTCTTACACGTGCCAACTCATCCCGTAGATACATAAGAAATGAGCTCCACACACACTGCTGCCTCCTGATATGCTTCTTACAGTATTTGCATGTCATCATGTGTACACCCCCCCATATAAAACTCTTTATAGACTACAGTATGCACCCCCCCCTCCCCATATAAAACTCTTTATCCACTACAGTATGCACCCCCCCCTCCCCATATAAAACTCTTCATCCACTTCAGTATGCACCCCCCCTTCCCCATATATAACTCTTTATCCACTACAGTATGCACCCCCCCCTCCCCATATATAACTCTTTATCCACTACAGTATGCACACATACAGAAACAAACCCGCCTCCCCTCCACAGGAATCTACTCCCTGCAGGAGCGAGGATGTAAATAGGATAGAATTAGAGAGCGAGCGGGGAGGACGAGAGGAAACACGAGAGATGAAGAGGGGAACAGAAGAGCCGCTGATGGAGGGGAGGAGACGGGGGAGGAATCAGGGAACAGGGAGAACGAGGGGGGATGTTACATCAACCCCCTGATGTTTTATGTAGAGCTGCCAATCATCTCATCACACGGAGGGCTGCTCTTTTTCCTTCCCGACAAATACAAAAAAAAAATACATCCGTTTTATTCACAGCCGAGTAAAACCTCAATCACTCAATTTCTGTACACTGAAGTCAATCTGTAAAATAAACTCTGAAGCAAAGACGGGCAGGAAGGACGTGCAAATGCACCTTTTTAATAAAAGGTACACTCTGCTACGTCCATATATGGTCGAAGGAGGTAAACGCCCCGGGCAGCACTTAGCCTGGCGCCAAATGTGGGCCAACTATTCATGAACAAAATCGCCACTGGCCGCGGGCTCGCTAAGCTACACAATCTATAGGCACAAAGAACCTCTGAAGGAAGTGTCAATCAAGCATCACCTGCAGCAGAGTCCCGCCCTCCAGCTCTCATCGGCCAATGGCAGTGAGGAACTCTTTTGACAGGTGCAGGGTCAGACTTTACAAGCTCAAGTCCATAGGTTTCCAATATGGCGATCGCCTTCAATTGGCTTCATAACTCCTCCTCAGAAACCAATGATGACGTCACTAAGACAACGTCCATGTTATATACGGTCTACAGTTGTCAACAGGAGGGACCTTATCTCTCTATGTCAGCTGATCGCAGTGGTAGCTGTCAATCACAAGCAGCTCCGCCCTAACTCCTCCCTCTCTCTCTCTGACTCTAAATGGGACCTTCATTTATTAAATAATCACGCTGTGTTGAAGAAGACTTGAAACTACCGATTGGGACGATAAACTCAGGAAAATGTTTACTGATGGAAAAAATCAACTGAGAAGAAGGAACATTTTCTAGTCAAACTATTCTGTCTTTGTAGCCCCCTGCTGGTCAGAAGGCAGAATGCAGGTATGAAGCATCCCCACATTAATTCACATCCACTTCTTCTTCTCCTCCTCAGTCTATGTTTGGCCCGGACTGTGACATAATCCATACAGCAGCCAATCAATACGACCGCTGACAAACTTTGAACTGCAGAGGTGTGACACGGGTTCCTTCAGTTTACAGGAGGTTGTTGTTTTCCCCCTCTCTCTCTCTCTCTCTCTCTCTCTCTCTCTCTCTCTGTCTCTCTCTCTCTCTCTCTCTCTCTGCTCGGAGGCAGATTTAGGATTTGCACACAGTCCAGATTATTCATTCAAAATGAGAATGTAAACACTTGTGTCTCTCGTGTTTTCCCCTTTTTTCCCAGCCTTGTCGCTTTGATACTCCATGAAAAGATGAGAGGGAGAAGAGATGAAAAGTGTGAGGAGAAAAGAGAAAGCTTTAGACGGGGAGGAGTTCATTCTGCATTTTTTTAAATCTCTGAAAACCTCATTTGTCTTTTCTCCTTCTTTTTTTTGTTATCTTCTCCTTCAGCACCTCCTGAGTCTCTTCCTTTCTTTATTTCTTTTTCTCTCTGTCTCCTCATCCTCATTTTTCCAGCTCCTGCCCCGAGCTAAAAGCTGCTGCTGCTCTCTTTGTTTGGAGACATTCCCGTACATCGAGAAAAATAAGACAAATTCTGACTGATCTTTGCTTCAATAATTCACCTTTTTAACGTCAAATTAAGATTTATCTGCTGATGTGAGGACCCTTCATGTCTTATAAAGGCGTAGGAAAAGACAGTTTTCATTAATGGTAAAGATTATATATGAACTAAAGCAGCCTGTGTTTAATTAAATACTTTAAAGCAACAACATCTGAAGCCTGTGTGTTTTGATCTGCTGTGGAAATGTTGAATCATTTGTTTAAAAATTCTCTTATCTTATATGTTTTTTGTGCCTTTTTTTATAAGAAATTAGCAGAAACGTGTACATGTATGACATGTACTCATTCATATATTTGTAGATTTAACTTTTCTTCACAATAATCCAATAAATGTTGGAGAAATTGTTGATTTGCTGAAATGTTACAAAAGAGCGTTTTGATGCCTTTAGTGTGTTGAATGAAATTCTCTTTATGGCGACATTTTTATGATAAATCTTATGGATATTAAATAATTACAAGAAACATATGTCACAAGAGAACAATCTGAAGTCATCACGACAGTTTTTTTTGTGTTTTTGTACGAGGAAAAATCCAAATCATCATTTTTTTTAAGGTCTTTTACGCGTCCGTTGCTCTTCGCGTTAATTGCAGATTCTTAATAATGACATTAAGTTTTCTTCTCATTTAACGACATGAACATTTCTGTTTGGACTCACCGTTGAAGTTCCAGAGGGGCTGCAGCCCCCCGGCTCCGTTACTGTCGTTACTCATGTTGCATGGCGGAGGACTCTTCTCCTTTATTTCCACTTTTTCTCCTCCAAGTTTGAAAAAAAGATTCCCCTCCTGTCGTCTTCTTCTTTTTAACTTCTTTATCCCCTTTAATGTTTCTTTATGTGTTCGTTAATGATCCGCGGAGCTCCGGAGGATCTCACCGTGCTCCTCTGCGTCTCAGCCGGACTGATGGATCGTCTTTGCGCTCAGGGTTTGTTTGATTTCCGTCTCTGCGTTTGGATGTTTGTTTCAATCAGCAAGCGACTCTGTCATTTTAAAAGAAAGACAACAAACAAACAAAGGGCATCAATTAACTGAAACTGATCGGTTCTTAATTAGGCATCAAATCAAAGCGAATAATCGGCTCGCTCGGATCACATCGCGCGCGGTTTCTCCTCGCGCGCGCGTTCATTCAGAGAGAGAGAGAGAGAGAGAGAGAGAGAGAGAGAGAGAGAGAGAGAGAGAGAGAGGACATGTGATGTCATTTTCTTCAGCCAATCCCTAATGACTTAATCTTTTACTTTTAACAGACTACATGTCATTAAAACAGTTGATTAACACTATTTGTACCATCTACAATATTCTGCTCCTGCTTAAAATCACAAAATGACCAATCAGTGAGATGATAAAGGTATCTTACTATCTGATCATTAAGGAAACATGCTATGTTGAAGTGCTGGCTTCTCTGACAACAATGCAGCAGCCAGTATGTCCTCCTTCTAACTTTAGATTCTGCTCCTGAATGCTCTGGATTTGTTTGGACCAGACAAGGTAGGCGATTTTAAGGCACCCAGCACACGGCCGTTTTGGACGCCCCTCTGTTTGTCAGATATGAGAGCAGTTATCAGGTCAACAGGTGTTGCAGTGATGGAAGCGGTCAAGAGAAGTGGTTCAGATAGAAGTGATTGTACCCGACCTAAAAAGCCTCTGCATGTTTCTAATAAGCTCCACGAGCAGAAACGTGCTCAAACTAGGATCAATATTGGAGATGCTTTTGAAAAATGGAGAGAGGTTAGAACACAGAAAGGTTTACAGACCCATGCAGAGCTGGATAAACACTGACTAACAAACAACCTGTCCTTTTATTTATTCTCACGCTTTCTACTTCTTGCTCTGCCCCGTCATGACATATTGCCATTTTACACAGACACAGAAAGTAGACTCTTGTGTACTGTTCCCGTCACTTCAAAGCCGAGTGTTAATTAATCCAATTAGTGGAGGAGGTGGAGAGAAAAGGAGCGCAGAGCGGCAGAGGAGAGGAGCGGTGGGAGACGAGGTTTCCACATCACTTCATGTTCATGAATACTTTGAAAGCAGAGCCGGACACAAGTTTAAAGCCGGACATTCAAATATTAAAGCGAAAGCACTCTACTTACGCCGAGGTAAACAAAGCAAGAGCCTGAAAAGTGCTCTGTGCAGAGTGTGAACTGTAGTAGTGTTATGAAGCAGCTTTGTGTGTGTGTGGGTTTGGATTGTGTAAACGTTTCAGAGACCTGAAAGATAGAAGGAGCAGAGGGCGTTTTGGTGAGTAAACCCTGAAGGTAAAAATAACTTTTGGTGTGTTTACAAGGAAACGTAACATCGAACCTTCACAGGGTAGAGCCCGGTTTATATAAATCTGCTCTCTGTTTTTACATGTTTTAGGAAATAGATGAGAAAAAGAGACAAAAAGGTTTGGAGATACTTCAGTAGATCACCTCAGCCTGCAGCAGTGAATCAGGCTGTCATAGCTGCAGTATACTCCTCCTCTTTTTTTGTTATTTTTGTCTGATAACATAACAGGAAGGATCCCTGAAACAGAAGTAGTTTCACCTCTCAGAACTGGGAGGTTGCTGCTCGACTGCTCTTCAAGATTTTGTTCTTTTAAGGTTTATTTTTGGTGCTCTGTCACCTCACAGCGAGGAGGTTCCTGGTTTGAATCCCCGCCTGACAGGAGCCTCTCTGTGTGGAGTTTTGCATGTTCTCCCCGTGCATGTGTGGGTTCTCCTCTTCTTCCTCCCACAGTCCAGAGACATGCTCGTTAGGTTCATTACTGACTCTAAAATTGCCTGTGATTGCATGTGAGTCTCTGTCTCTAAATGTCAGCCCTGTGATTGAACAGTCCATGGTGTAACCCCGCCTCTTTCCCGATGACAGCTGGGTGCGGCTCCAGCCCCCTGCGACGCCGAACGGGATAAAGCGGTATAAATAATGGAAGTATGAATTTTTGGTCTTTATTGCCTTTATTAGATCGGAGAGTGGAAAGAGGAGGAAGAAGAGAGAGAGAGAGAGAGAGTGGGGAATGAAATGCAGGAAATAAGCCGCAGGTCAGACTTGAACCCGGGTCTCTTACATGGGGCACGACCTAACCACTAGGCCATCTGCACCCCCGTTACAAGTTTTGTTTTAGAACAAAGTAACACAAAAAACTAACCAAGGCAGCTGTAGAGCAGCAACTCCTGTGTTCCCCTGCGTCCCAGATATGAATGAAACAATGCGCTGGTTACCTCACACAGGAATCGATCAGAAGGTTGGGATAAAAGCCGTAACTGTTCCCAAAATCCTCTTCACACTTTTAGTAAAACATCGTCGTGACGCTCGTGGTGCCACCCAGGGAAATCTACAGAAACAAACATCAGGCGGAGAAGAAGAAAAGGTCACTTACAAACCATTTTAATGCATTTTTACTGAACTTTTTCTGGCTTTGGGCTCAAATTGAAGTCGTAAATATTCTCAAAAATCTTTTTATTTCTTACTGGTCATCATCCATGGAGTTTTATTTATAAGCTTTATTGCATCCCCTTTTATAACATTTTACATGATACAACTAAAACAAGTACAAGCTTTATAGGATTACAGCGAGGTATTGACTTGTGTTGTGCCATAAAGGAGTCATAATGTGTGTTAGCGAGAGTGTTTGAGCCGACAACCTTACATAAGAAACTCTCCGCTCTGCTCACCTCACCTCTGACACACACACACACACACACACACACACACACACACATACAGCAGCAGCATGTGTCATTATGGGCTGAAGTGGGCTGATTTTGGCTCGGCCATTATCTTCTTACACAACCCACTACAGTGAAGAGAGTCTGTGTGTGTGTGTGTGTGTGTGTGTGTGTGTGTGTGTGTGTGTGTGTGTGTGTGTGTGTGTGTGTGCGTGCTCACATTACTCATGTGCTTATGTGCCATTTGAAGTCATTTCTAAAATTGCACGCTAATAAAGCAGCGCGCTCTCTCCCCGTCAGGCCTCTGCCCTCTCTTTGTCAGCAGCTTTATCGTGAAGTGTGGAAGTCTGAAAACGCACAACTGATGCAATTAGGATCGCTTTGAAACACAACACACACACACACACACCGACACTAAACATTTAACAAACCCCAACGTCAGACTGATGTGATCTCTTATTGTCTTCATGTAAACATTAAAGTGTCTGCATTTGTTCAAAGTCATGTGAGGACAAAATTATTCTGAGGATAAAATATCCACAAAATCAATTTTCATATTACAGTCAAGTCTTTGGTGGTTTGTAGTGCAACTGAACCACCACAAGGGGGCGCTACAACCTCATAAATCTATTAACTGGAACAGAAAACATAGACAAGCTGCAGAGTAAAAGTTGAACATTTCAAATTATCGTCTTAAAAGATTTCATCACATTTATATTTATTCATTGATGTGAATTGGGCTTTTTTGTGTCTTTATTTTGATAGGACACTACAGCAGGAAACCAGAAAGAGAGAGAGAGAGAGTGTGTGGAAAGGAGCCATAGATTGAGAAAGAGTTGCCCCTGTTTTTAATCACATTTCTACGTTTTCTCACTTTTTGTCTTCTTCTCTCGCGCGTGTCTCTGCAGGCCGAGTTGTTCCGCAGTCAGAGTAACATACACAGTTTGCTGCTGGAGTTATTTGCAGGTGTTTTGCGGCTGTGCTCGATGTCCTCGTGGGTCTGATACGGTGGGGTGATGTCCCAGGAGAAGAGGTCCGGGGTGACGACTTCACCTGAGGCTGCGTGCTTCTGCTCGCTCTCAGAGCTCACGTCGTGCTCTAAAGGAAGGAGACATATTAGAGAGTTATGATTTTATAAACCAATGTGCCTGCACTTTCAATTCTCTCACCTATCGTCTTTCAAACTTTGATTTATTTTAGTTTAACTTTGGCTTTATCGTGACAAGTTACTTGAGGTGTCTTCTTTACCTTGGTCAATCTGTCCGAGGTTCTCCTCCGGGTACAAACATGTCCCTCCACCCTCTCTTCCCATGATGCTCTCCTCTGACATCAGCAGGTTCCCCAACAGAAAGTAGGTGGTCATCTTGCCTTTACCTTTGATCTCGATGTGCCCGCGCTCCTTTATGTCGAACCCTGCGCCCTGTAACTCACTGAGGAGGGGAAACAGAACAGAAATGTTGTAATTCATTATAATACCCGTGTGTCTCCCAGTCTAATCTCCGGGAGCGATTCCAACACTTGTTTCAGGTTTAAGTTATTCCATGATGTGCACGTTTCAGACTGTGTTAAATGCGTCACCTGTAAGTTGTGGAGCTCAGGTGGATGTGATCGGGGAGACCATGACTCTCCATCCTGGACGCGGTGTTGACGGTGTCTCCAAACAGGCAGTAACGAGGCATCTTCTCCCCCACCACCCCCGCCAACACGGGCCCGGTGTGCAGACCCACACGGATCTGAAACACACACATACACACGCTGTCAGCACACACAGAATTTAATGTGCTAAATAAGTATCCAGACTAAGAAGGCTTCTCACCTGTATGGGTCTTCCTGTTACAGGGTTGATGACCTCTCTGGCTGAGATCCTCATTCCCAGAGCAAAGTTAGCCACTCTGTGAGCGTGGGTCACAGTGGGAACGGGGACGCCTCCCACCACCATGTACGCATCACCGATAGTCTCCACCTTCAGGAAACAAACGGGAACCATCAGAGGGTTCAGTCACTTCTGTTTGGCATCTTTTCACAGGTTGATACACCCGGACCCTGAAACCCCTCGTCTTCTTTTCATCCTGCAGAGGTGTCACACATGGAAGAATACCTTGTAGATGTCGTGAACGTTGGTGAGTCGGTCGAACTTGGAGTACATGCAGTTGAGCATGTGGACGATGTGGATCGGCTCGCAGGCGGCGCAGATGTTTGTGAAGGTCACAACGTCACTGAAGAGGATCGTGCACACCTCAAACTCCCCTGAAAGAGACGGAGACGTGAATAAAGCTGCAGACAGGTAGTGTGTGTGTAGAGAAATGGCTGACTTTACAAACAGACCGACCCGCCTTCACGCTCTTCCCATCTTTCAGCTGATTGGCGATGTGTCGAGGCAGCATGGCGTACAGCAGAGTCTCCGTCTTCTCTTTCTCGACCTCCAGGTGACGAGACAGAATCCTCAGCTCCTCCTGCAGACAAACAAACGATGCATTCATTTTCCTGAAATGCTTCCAGTGAAAAGACTTTCTTTACCACTCTTAGATCTTCAGGTTGTCCAGCTAAACAAAATGCCACTCTTTGACTCTTTGCAGCGACACCTGGTACTGGAGTGTTCCCTTTTCAGATAGCTTAGCAGATATTTAATAAGTAAATGTTGATTAAATCAAACGCAATCATGTCCATTGAGCTGTTTTTTTTATTTTCATTTTGCGCCGGATCAAGGCTTCTTTTCCTACTTTCTTCCTCTCCAGCTGGTTGCTGAGCTCCATCTCAGCCAGGCGCTGCTGGTTCAGGAGGACCAGGTCTCTGGTGACGTCGTGCTGGGCGAGGTCGGACAGGTGGAGACCCACGTCCTGAAGCTCCTGGAGGCTCCGCAGCTTCGGAGAACAGAGGTAGAGCATGCAGCCGAGAGACTCCATCCACACCATCTGACCTGAAGATGAAGCGAGTGCAGGTTAATGACGGAGTTCAGATCGTTTAAAGATGTGTCGTTAAGCAGCACTCACCTCTGAGTTTGAGCATGGTGTGCTTGTGGCTCTTTAACACAAACTGACTGTTGATGAACTTCCTGATGCTCTCGATGGTAAAAGTCACCTGGAGAACAGACACAGATACTGCTTTAAGATTCATGTTTAATCACCCGCCGTTACACTTTACTCGATATCACAAGAACGACTGAATATCTTTGATCCATGGTTCTGTGCTCGTGTTTTTACCTGTGGGTGTATCAGGGTGAAATACAGATCCAGTGTAGCATCTCTGGCGTGAAGACCTGGAACAAACTTCTGGATGTTCACACCTGTCTGCCTCACCTTCAGCTGGTACACAGACGAGCACAGAGAAGAGACAGGGAAAGACAATGAGGTGGCAGACACAAAGGCAAAAGAAAATGTTGAGTTTATGCCAAAAAAAATTGAAGTACATGTCGATCAAAGACGATGTGAAAGGGGAAAGCATCGCAGAAAGCTTTTTCCTCCATCCACAGTTTGTTCGGGTAACACGGACGGAAGGCGCACTGGAGACTACCTGTGAAGGAAATCAAACACACGCACACACACTCTGTAAGTGTAACAGAGGCTACACATTTAAGGTCACATATTCTCCTCCTCTTCAACCACTTTAAATAAGTCTCAGAACTCATGGACTCTTATCATCATTGAGGGGTTTGTAGACAGACTAGAGACACATATTAGAGTTAGAGGAACATGGTGAAGAGGGTTTTATATAATTTGTGACCTTTGTGATATTTCATTTGTGCTTTGGCTTCAGATTAGCTTACGTTTAAATAAAAAGTAAAACACTTTAAAAAGGGAATACTGATATTTTACATATTTTGAAATCCTCCAGTAGATTTCTTCAGCTTGTAGCCGCAAACAGTTTTCTGCAGTGGTGGACAAACAACACGACTCCATGACTTGAATCAAAGTATAGATCCTCCTGGGCAAATATGGCCAGGAGGATCTGTACTTTTGACACCGCTTATGGCTGCCATTCAGTGTGTTTACCATCGGTTATCTCTCTACAGCTGTTCTTATTCGTCGTGGTGCACGCTGTTGTTTCTGCGCTGGATTCAGGCGACTTAAACACAAGGGATTGATTTCCTGGTTGACCAGAAACACGACGTGCTCCTTCTTCCCCGTCCGCTCGTCTTCCTCCGACTGGTTGAGAACCTCCATGGTGACTTTTGTGTGGAAGAAGTCTCTGGCCACCGCCTCTATGATACCTGGAATGGAAAAAAAAAGTGGAAAAATGTGAGGAATGGAGCGCTCAACTTCTTAGTTTGCAACATACAAAATCAGGATCGATGCAGTGGATTGGTGAGGTAAGAAAGGCGATCATTACGCTTGTTTTCACCTGGTACAATATGGAAGAGGCCCTTTCTGTCAGAGTAGTAGTGAAGCAGCATCTTCCCATCGTCCGTCATCTCCACTCTGAAAGACGGTGCGTTCATTTCCTTAAAAAAAACAGGAGGGGAGGTTGAGATTTTGTAAAACAGTTAAAAGACATACAGACACACGTGATCACACCTGATAGGACAGAGCCAGGTAACTGTGCAGAGCGTCCAGATTCCCAATGAACTCAACCAGGTTCCCTCCCAGAGTCCTCATCATGGTGTCATAGCCCGCCTTTTTACAGAACAGGAAGAAATGTCCTCCAAAAAGCTTCAGGAACACGTCGGCAGAAACGTCTGGAACATCAAAAACACACAGAGGAACACAGTCAGAGAACTTTAAAGACATTACATCGATCCATTAGAGGGTCTGTGTCGCAGCGAGTGATGAAGTCAAGACCACCGAGACCGAGACCGAGACATACCTGAGACCAGAGTGATCCGAGACCGAGACAAGATCGAGACATTTAGGGATTAAGAGGCAAGAACAAGACCAAGACCATGACCAAGACCAAGGCGGGGCAAGACCGAGTCAAGACCAAGACCAAGGCAGGGCGAGACCAGGACAAGACCAAGACCAAGGCAGGACGAGACTGGGTCAAGACCAAGACCAAGACCAAAACCAAGGCCAAGACCAAGACCAAGACCAAAACCAAGGCCAAGACCAAGACCAAGACCAAAACCAAGGCCAAGACCAAGACCAAGACATGGCGAGACCGAGTCAAGACCAAGACATTTAGGGAACGAGTCAAAACCAAGACCAAGACCAAGACCAAGACCAGGACCGAGAGAAGACCAGGACCATACATCACTGATAAATCATCATCTTGAGTTCAGGGGGCGTGTCACTCACTTAGACCGTTACAGCGGGAAGGTTGAGGCTGAAACCGGGTGGTCTTGACAAGTCTTGATTTAAAATCTGGAGTCTACCCGAGACAAGACCGAGTAAGAACGCTTACCAGTCCAAGATGAGACCTTCAGAAAGTTATCTCCAGAGCCAGACCGATGTTGAGTCCTACATCACCAGCTGCAGCGAAACATTTAACCTTTTCATTTTTAGGATTCCTAATTGTTGAACATAAATCCCCGGTTTAAAAACACCTGAACCCTCCTCATCGCTCGTAATGCAGTTCTCCAGCCGCCCATGTGCTCACGTGTTTGTTTCCTGCAGCTTCTGCAAACATTCAATTACAGTTTATCCCCAAAGGTGAGAACAGAATAGATAATCAGGCCTTTGGGAACCCCTCAGTACCCTATCGACCCACGCTGAATAAACAGTCATGTTTTATACATGTGTGCCCCGGGGCCGCAGAGTCTATATGTGTTTGTGTGTTTGCCAGCACAGAACATGTTTTAGTAAATAATTAACACCTTGTTTACAAAGCTTGTTACAGCCCCTGCTCAGTTAAATGTTCAACCTGTGCATTCTGATCATCCTGAGTTTCTTAAACATGGCGTCTACAGGCTGTAAGAAATACATATTTATATTTTATAATAAATAACTCACTAAACTAAAACCATTAACCCGAGCAGGAAAGGCCCCTCCCCTCCTGCTCAGACATGACCCCATACCAGTCGTGCTACGCTAAAGATAACGCACAATGAATTATTCAAAGTAGCATGAAATGTGCTCGGAGAATGTGAGGTTTCAAACGTTAAGACGGAGAAATCCTGAACTCTTACCGAGCAGCGTGCAGGCCTCCTTCACCAGGCTGACCGTCAGCACGTCGTCATAAACCGTGTACGTCATGAAGGTGTCCTGGACTCCTGGTAGAGAGCTGTGTTAAGAAACGATGATGTTAAGAGTAAGTACACAAAGGTCATCATCATCAACACCTTCTTGTTGTTTATCTGTACAAGTCCAGGAACCTCAGTTTGTCCCACGTGTCCTGTCCAAACTTCTCCATCACCAGAGACTGGAGGCAGCTGTTGATGAACCCGTACTGAAAACAAAACAACAAGGACATTTCATGTTTTTTAAAGATTTATTTTTTTGGCTTTTTGTGCCTTTAATGGAGAGAGAGGACAGTGGACAGAGTTGGAAATCAGAGAGAGAGAGAGAGAGTAGGGAATGACATGCAGGAAAGGAGCCACAGGCTGGATTTGAACCTGGAGGAGCTGATAACTGTTTTTAAATCTAAAAATGAAAGACCTGGCAGTAGATTCTACAGGATGTCAATGTTTTTTAGCTCGACTGCTTGAACGACACTCTCAGATTTGACTCTTAAGTTTGTAATTTTGTGTTTGCGCTGCTGACTGTCTCTGCCAGGACTCCTCGGGTGAAGAGGTTCTTAATCTCACTGAAACCAACCTGATTAGAGAAATAAATGAAGCAACCTCCTGGAGCGATCCCAAAGATTTTTGTGCTTTTGTTGTTCATTTAAACCAGTGCTTCTCAACTGGTCACAGAGCCCTTTATCGTTGAGCGTCTAGAAACAAAAAATGTTGAAAAAGTTTCTGATACGCTTTAAAAATATATTTCATTTTGTTCTGTTACATTTTGAACAATCAGAGGTCCAAACTGCACGATTTGTCTTCCAGTTGAACATTTTCCCCCAAAAAGTGTTCTGATTTCTCGTTATCGTGGCGGTGGTGAGTCCTGAGGCAAGACCAGTTTAGAACCAGCAACTTAAACCCCTAAAATATTGATGTAAGAAAAAAGGTTTCAGGCTCAAATTGCCTGAAACTGCCTTTAGAAGAACTAAAAAGAAGGGTAACAGTAATTAGTCATCTCTGGGTTCCTTAGTTTCTGGCTGAATATGAAGTTCACTCACCATGTCTGTGTTTGATCTTCTCCCGCCGTCTTCTTCTCCAACGTTGATGCAAATAAATTAAAGACTTTATACTGCCTCCTCTGCGCTCTTCATTTCTACAGAGACTCAAATTCCCGTGTTGCCTCACACCTCTGTCCACCTGCCTCTAACACCTCACTGCTGCTAGAAGAGGACACACACATCACAGATACGCACACACACACACTCAGTTTATTAAACCAGAGACTCTCTTCATAGTGTTGTGTGTGAGCTCAAAGATCCGTCGCCCATGAAAAACTCCTGATGAGGTTCAGTTTCTTGTTTGCTTTGAGTCTTGGATTCGTTGAAAATAATCAAAAAAGAACATTTTATTCATGAAGAGAATCTGCTGTGAGGTCAGATTGACAGGTTTATGTTCTTAGATAAGGAATGATCGCAGTAACAGCCTCATATATCATCACAATATCAAATAATCACTTTAAAAACAGGGCTTCAGTACATCATTTCTGCAGGATTTTTACAAAATGACTGGAAAAACCTGCAGCATCTTTTCCAATACTGAACATTTTCATCCTAAGTGATAATCAATTCCTTCAACAGAGGTGAGTAAATGAAGGGTGAGTGAAGTACTTGCCAACCACAGCAGACACCGTGCTTCACTGCTCGGCTGTTTCAAACACATCTGGCGGTGTTTGCAGAGGGGAGGGCGGTGGGTTCATTGCAACAGCGACTCCTGTAGGTTGCTTTGGGTACTTGAGGCCCGATGAAGCAGCTGCAGCTACTCTTCTTCTGCACGAGAGGGCAGTAATGGCTGGCGGGTCTCATAAAGGGAGGGGACACTTTCACAAAGCTTAAAGGGGGAATCTCACATAGTTTAGGTCTGAAGGAATAAAGAGGACATCAGCTAATCAAGGCGTGATATCTGCAAATTAATCCTTCAGAGAAAAGGAAACTGGTCTATTTATTATCCACTATAAGTTGATGTTTTTGTAACCGACAGGCTCAGACTGTTATTCTGAGGGTCTGACAACATTACAGGAATAAAATGCATTTTTTTTAGAACAGAGAACAGCCAATAAATCCATCTCTTTAAAGCCACCAAACTCATTTAAAAAAACTGATTTTACATCGCAGAACGCTGGCCCTGCTGGTCCACAGCTGCCTCAACCAGTTGGTTTTATGTGTGTGTGTTGGGACAAGCTGGCTTAGAACAAACACTTTAATACAACTGAACAACGGCAGTGGGTAGAACAGGAACTCCTGTGTTCAGCACATCATAAAAACACTGTTTTCTAAGGGCTGTTTTCTCTGAATCTTTTTTTTTAAGGTTTATTTTCTGGCTTTTTATGCCTTTAATTAGAGTTAGGACTGTGGATAGTGTCAGACATCAGAGTGAGAGAGCTGGAAGGGAGTTACAGGTCAGATTCAAACCCCGGGCTGCACACTTGGAGGACTACGACCTCCGTACATGGGGTGCACACAACGCTACCGGAGCCTGAAGTCTGGTCACTTTGCAGAAAGACTTTTACTCTGGGTTTAAAAGCTTTATCTCTACTTTTTAAAGGTTTATTCTCTGGGGCGTTATTTGACAGGACAGGGACTAGAGAAGGAGAGAGAGAGAGGGGGGAGAGAGAGGGAGAGAGAGAGAGAGCGAGATAGAGAGAGAGAGATAGAGAGAGTAGGGAAAGGAGACACAAGTTGGATTTGAAGATTTGAACCCGGGCCGCCTGCTTTGAGGATTAAAGCCTCCGTACACGGGGCGCGATCTAACCATAAGGCCGTCTGCGCCCCAGAAAAGCTTGACCTCTTTTGCAAAATGTTGCCGACCATGAATAGAATTTTAAAAAGTCGTTCATTCCACACATTCGCTCCTTCAACATTTCTGAGCCTCGTCCTGCTTTTGACACATTTCAGGTAATGTTTGTAAATGTAACATTGAGGTTTGTTCACCTTTCAGTCATTTGGACCCTTAAATAACGCCACGTTTTACAGATAACGACATTCACGAGGCATTATCACAGAGAAACATAACGTGTGTTTTTCTATTTTACATAACATAAATAAAATCTTTATTTCTGTGTACACATGTTAATGAGGTTAGTTCCATAAAGTCGAGCGGCCTCTTTTTACGAGAAACACTTTGTTAAAACGAGGCCACAAATGTAACGTCAGAATAAACACATCCAGCGCAGAGACACTGATAGAGCTCAGAATAAATGCTACCATATCTTACATACATACATACTTACAAACATGCCATCAAGCGTTCACATGGTGGAGACTCTTTCCCAGTCACCACAACCCCCCACGACCTGTCATGGAGGTAAAAACTCAACGTGATTCTGTGAGTATAAAATCTGTACTTTCAGGATACTGCGTGTAAACTTGACTGCTTATTGAACTCGTTTCTGTCAAGAGTCTTCAGCGAGAAAAAAGTCAAACAGCTGAACTCGTGTTCAGAGAATCCGTCAGTCACTCGGTGGTTTATGTAGAAAATAAAGGTCCAGTAGAAGCAGCAGTGAAAACAGGGCCTGTGTAAAGTCCGGGTCCATCGACAGGAACCTGAAAACACAACATAAAACGCTTGAAAACATGCGAGGACACAACCATCTGATATGCATCTTTACAACATCAAATATGTTTTTTCACACTGCACCCGTTCAACATTTAATCCTTTGCTCAATGAGTTTCAGTTTCTTCTTGCAATCAGTTTGACATCTGGTGCTTTTATTTTCAAGGTGGACAAAAGGATGTGCGGTGCTTTGCATGACGAGCTCCTGACTCTAATCCCAACACTCAGAGGCTCGTCAATAAACGGTGAGCGGTGAGCGGGAAACCTTTTTTACTCCTGTGTTGACACAAAGCTCAAAAGCTCATCTGGCTCCTTTTCGATGTGAAGTAGCATCAGCTTCTCTGCTCCCCTGAATGTCTGAGCTCCTCATCTTATCTCTAAGGCTGAGCCCAGACACCCTCTGGAGGAAACTCATTTTGGATGCTTATGTCTGCAATCTGGTTCTTTCAGTCGCTACCTAAAGCTCCTTCAGGCTCAGCTCCCTCTGCACCACGACTGTTTGGTACAATCTGACAATCAATTCTCAAATAATCTCGCTCACATGTCGATGGCTGTGTCTGCATATGGTAACTTGGGGTCCAGTATGTTGCAGCATTATATACTGGTATAATGGTTGCACCGGTATGCAGGACGCAGCCAATGTCTTAGGTGAAGAAATATAGTTAAATTTGCCTTCTGCCTCCTGACCTTGACCCTGATATTGATGATAATTAAGGATTCCTTCTGTGTTGCATGTGTTATTTTTCTAATGGTACCTCTCCAAGAGCCTGCAGGGCGACGGTAGCAGCCATGGCCTTGGCGTGTTTCTTGTTGGGACTGGCTGTCTGAGGCTGATAGTCCACGCCGTTCACCGTGACCTGGAGACAACAGGACAACGCTTTCAATCACATCAAACAGCGAGAGAGAATAAAGATCTCCTCCAGACACACTGACTCAAACGGACTCACCTTGAAGAGGAAGTTTTTGCGGTGATCCGGTCCGCTGTGATGAACCATGACGAAGTCCGGCTGCATGATCCGCCTCTTGTTACACAACTCGATGAGGGCGGACACCGGGTGCTTCCCTGTGCACAGATTAAAGGGGCAGACTCGGGTGACGGTTCACATGGCTCATAAACTTTAAGGAATCTGGATTCAGAGACTCGATAGAATCTCTACTGTTACATTCTGGCTTCATAAAGGAGTGATAGTGACTTTGTGTGCGGTTGTATCTGTTACCCATTAGATCCTTGGTCACCACCAGTCCTCCCGTCTGCTTCTGAGGCTTCTCCCCTTCAGCAACCAGTCCTGAAACACAGAAACATCACTGTGAACATTGGTGCCTTTATTCTGCAGCTGTGGTGGTTTTTCTGTCTCTTTGACCTCTTGAAAAAACCTGAAATTTAATTTCTTTATTGGACATGCGCCATCTTAAAGAACATCTATGATGAACTGGACCACTGGACCCGACATGACTCTGTGTGGTGGAGACGTCTGTGTGTGATTAAATGAAATGCGACCAACTAGTCTGTTGGTGTTCTGTAAGCCTGATGGAGTCAGACACCTTGGTCAGAGTTATTTTAAAAAACCAGCAGGTCCAGAATATTCACAGCAAGGATCAAAGAGATCAATTTAAAATCCAATTTAAAATCCATATTTCTCACAGTGAGGATGAAAGATTAGATTTGCTTTAACTCTAAAACTATCCCGTTCATGAACGATAGCCTTCACTCTCCTCTCTGTTTTCATCACATCTTGTAAAGCCTTATTTTAAAATCTCAGTTGATTCAACACCGTGCGGTTACAGACCTTTGCGGTCGACCTTGAAGTCGATGATGATCGGCTCCACGGTGCCCTCCCGGTTCCTCCCGAGACCTTCTCCGGTCCTCCAGCCCATCTTCCTCATCAGGAACTCCCCGACTCCTCCGGATACTGGAGCAGCTCTGAGGAACTGATCCTGACAGAGACACAAACACAGTTACAGCTCGATAAAGACATTTCATTGGTTCTCCTTGTCCAGTATGTTTGTCAGATACAGCCAGAACTCAATAATAAAGGCTGTCAGTGCTGTGTACCTGTGCACTCCCAGTACTCAAAGGAACTGGACTTTGAGGGATCACTCCTAAACGATAAATCTACTTTTTCTAACTGCATGTAAATATACTGACTGACATAAACACTGTATGTGTACTTTTATTGTTCATGTTTGTTGCTGTGTGTGTTACCTTCTTGAGCCAGGCCTGAGGCCCGCTGTTGGACAGCTCCTCTGAGGTGAGGACCTGAGCTCCAGTGGAACCCGTGAAGAGACCGGGAACAGTGTTGGACTGAGCCCACGCGTCCACCTGCAGGAACGAGACAGAAAAGACCCTCAAGTCTGTCAATCAACAGTCAGGAAACATGTGACCTTTAAATATCAATCCTAAAAATCATGTATCTTACCTGCTCTTGGGCTCGGCTGAGCATGCAGATGGCGTTGACATCATACGGGTTCTCAGCCAATCGTCTCTGGGCTTTGATCCTCTCAGTTACAGCCTGAGAAATATCCACCGGCTGCAGAAATAAAGACAGAGAGAGAGAGAGAGAGAGAGAGAGAGAGAGAGAGAGAGAGAGAGAGAGGACCGAGGTGACGAGAGGATCAGGATAACGAGGAGAAATCCCTCTCTACAGGGATAAATAAAAGTAAACAAACTTTCACATATTTAGTCAATACTTAGTTTGAAACACGTTGTACTGACCTGCACTTGCGGGTCGGGGAAAACGCTGTCGTTGTCAGATGCAGGCGCCGGCTGCTGCTCCTCGACCTCTGGTAACCCTGTCCCCGTTTCTCCCGGTGATGAAGTGGCCGTTGCTATGGAAACAGCGGTCATCGCCTTCCTGGAGGCCGCAGCAGCTTTCTCTGCAGTTTTATCCACAGGAACCCACTCGCCGTACGCACCCAGTGTCTCCCCCTCCTGGACAGAAGGACACACTGCATTCAGTAAATATTCTCAAAGCAAAAAAAGAAAAAAAGAAAAACTGAAAGGGGGGGCGGCAGGAGCTCAGTCGGTTCAAGTCCGAGCTTGAGATGCCAGATCACTTTCTGAGCACTGCCAACCTTCTTAACATCCCCCCGATGGAAACTAAAGAAATCCACTACGAAGGCAGAACATATGCATCGATGCATCAAGTTAAACATTTAGAGGCTCTGACCTTTTTCCGATGTTGGCATCCCGACGACACAGGAAACTCTTTAGCCATCCCGGCGTCACTTCTCGCTCCAGCGGCCGGACGAACTGTCGTGTTCTGGAGGGAAAAAGAGGATTTGATCGTTCTTAAACGAGTTGTAGACGTAACAAACAACAAGCTGCTTTATGTAAAGTGTGAGCAGTCGTTACATTGATGCTGAAGCTGATAGCTTTTTGTTCCCGTAGAGCCGATGCTCCAAACGGTTTCCCATCATCCTCTTCGTCTGAGACATGAGGCAACGCCACCGGGAGCTCTCCTTTGCTGTCCACGATCATCTTACATTTCTACAAACACAGAAAAGAACATGAAGTGTTCAAGTCAAGCAACACTGATGACTTCACATCACGACTTTAACGACTGAACTCTTACATCAGTGAACTCCTTGATGCTGATGCTGTTGGCCTGCTTGGCCACTTTGCGTTTGACTTCCTCCAGAGCGGACATGTTGGTCTGGGACGGGGCGGGGGGAGGTTTGTTGGTGATGGAGGGCAGCGGGAGGAGGGAGGACAGAGCGCCCATGTTAGACAAAGCAGCTGTCATGGTGGCTGAAGGGAAGATGGAGACAGGACACAGAATAAACTCAAAAGTTAAAGAAAGAAAGTGTAGGTTTGAGCGGCTCTATGCGACAAAATCAGCTTGATTCTGTTGTTTCCTGTTGGAGTGCCGTTTCTATTTTCCTCTCTTTCGCTTGCGTAGATGGACGAGGAACAATAAAGTAAGAATCTGAGCTGAAAAAATTCATTTTAAAGAAAGGGAATAAGAGTTAACGTCCTACCAGCGGTCATGCTGGCCATCGCAGCGTTCATGGCCATGTTGGGCAGAGCCAGAGGCAGCATGCTGGACCTCAGGCTGGCGGGGATCGGCATGCCTGCTTTGGCACACATGGCGGCCGCGTTGGCCTTGGCAATCTCCAACAACTGCTCCTTATCTGAAGAATCAGAAAGAACGAGCAGGATTATTAAACAAACAGATTCACAGTCAGAGTGAAACATGCAAAAAAGTGATTTGATATCTTCTCACCCAGATCGCTGACGCGGTGCGGGCTGTCGCTTGTGCTGCAGTGTTTCCTGTTGGGGGATCTATTTTTTCTGAGGATGAGTACAGGGGAGTGACTCGGCTCTCGTTTCCAGCGGTCCCTCTGGCTGTACGCCGTCCTCCTCTGACCTCGAGACGCCGACCGAGAGCGAGATCTCCGAGACCTCCGACCCCCTGACCTGAAAACACAATATTCAGTTTAATGAATTTACCTAAAACCTAATCTGTAAATAAAAATCAATGAGAGAATCTATCAGTGTGTTTGGTGGATGTGCGCTCTCTCTCACATCATGACCTCTATTTAACCTCTATGTGTAAAAAACTACCTGTAGTGGTTAATTAATCACATGGGGGGTCTCTACCTGGACCGTGATCTCCTCTTCTTTGACGGACTCCTCGATCTGGATCCTCTCCTGTGGCTCCGACTCGGCGACTTGGATTTTTTCTGCTTCTTTGACGACTTTGATTCCTTTTTCTTCTGAGGGGACTTTGACGGTTTCCTCTTCTTCTTCTCTGGTGATTTAGCTGCAGCTCTGCATTCGGTTGTTTTGTTCTGAGGGGAGCGGGGCTCGGAAGTCTGCTCAGGTTCAGTCGATACGATCTGGGTCAGCATGGACTGGGATGCAGCAGAGCCTGGAGATTGAGCATTAGACAAACAACTAAAAACACCAGCTTTGAGTTTGACATGAACACAATCAGCTGACTGTTTCTGCAAGGGATAGAAAACTTCAGATTCTCTATCCTGCACTCGACCAGAAGCTCTTTGATAAATTTCAAAATAAAAGCAGGGATACAATAAAACATTTCTTAAGCCATCAAACGAGTGAAACACTCACCTTGTTCTTGTGTTGTCTCGTCCTCTCTCTCTTCTTTTTTCTCCGCAGCCGGCTGACTCTGTAACGAGCTCAGCAGCTCGGTGCTCGACTCCGCCCCCTCCTCTGGTTTGTTGTTTCCTCGAGGAGAGCTGCAGGTCGGCTGAGGCAGCTCGAGGTCTTTTGTAGGATCGTGTGTGGACTGTTTGGATTCATATAAAGCTTCCTTCTTCAGTGGGGACCTGACAGCAGGAACATGGTAAAAAGATTTTTAAAAATACAATGAGAAGAGGCAGGTTGCAATCACTCTTGCACTTGCGTTCCTTTGAAGAATAAATCAACCATTTGTAAGTTTTCCCGTCATACCTGGATCGTGATCTGTGTCGCTTTGAGCTCGACAAAGAGCGAGAGCGAGATCTTCGTCGGTTCAGTCCGGAGGGAGAACGAGACTTCCTCCTCTCTGAGCGGGAATGTGAGTGAGAACGGGAATGTGACCGGGAACGAGAACGAGAACGACGACGACTACTCCTCCTCTCCTCGTCTCCTCGTCCTTTACTGGAGCTGTCCTGTTTGGACACGAGAAGAAGAAGGAAACGACTGATTTGTGACTCATCTGAGGACGATGAAGAAACGTTTACATATTCCAAACAACACGTGTTGACTTTTCCCGTGCTGTTGGTGTTCTGACCTGTTTAGGGATGATATCAGGCAGCTCCTCTCTTCTCCGAGGTGATGCTTTTTGACCACGTTTACTCTCCCTCTGCTTGGACTCCGAGTCTGAATCAGACGAGTTCTCTTCGTCTTTCCGCCTCCTCTTCTTCTTCTTCCTCTTTCCTGAGTGACGTTTGTGGCTCCTGGACTTCCTCTCGCTCTCCTCACCTGCACAGAGACAACTTTTATCTAACAACTTAAATTCTGTCACAAAGGTTAGACGAACCCGTCATCACGGCACCGATCTTTAGGAGGCAGAAATACGGGGAATATCATTGGCTGGTTGAAAAGTGATGTCAACAGCGGCCTTCTGAAAAGTTGAAAGATTTTCAAGTAGAAGCACTCGGACAAAGGATACTGGGCGCCTCGGGCAGCTGCTCCAAACGTTCTCTCTTCAATGGGAATAATTTAAAAAAGAATCTGACACACACCCTTACAAAATAACTGACAGGCTTACCTCGCTCCTTACCGCCATCTGTTGGAGTTCTTCTTCTATGAGCAAACACAAAACCTGAGTTAGGCACATTTAGAATCGGACAAAAAAAGACAGAAAGATTTTAAAATAATCCTAATCATCAAATTGAGCCTATGAACAGTACAGGGCAAGACAATTTAAGAAGTAACAGCATTATGTTAAGAGTGTGCACAGGCTCGTGTTCTGCTTTAGGGTGTGCGTGTGTGTGTGTGTGTGTGTGTGTGTGTGTGTGTGTGTGTGTGTGTGTGGTCTTCAGCTGCTGTGTGGTGTGTAAATATCGCTTACCTCTATGTGCACTGTGACTCGGTGATGCTTTATTCAACCTGCTGCAGTGTCTT